TCAGTAGTTTCAAAGCGTTATATGACAAAGAGTGCTGGGAAGACGGGACACCACGAGCGTAGCTCTCATCCTGTAACTACACTTAGGTAATTACACTTAGGTAATTACAGGAGGTTTGCCGCAAGGGCCGCCCGCACCGCAGCAGGTTGGATGCGATAAGCCGAAAACCTCCGGAAAGGCGGAACCGAAGCACCTGGTGAACACGGAACCAAACCAGGGGAGGGCCAGACACCAAGTCCAACTCGTACGCAGATGAGGGAAAAGAAAACCCCACTCCTTGTAACAGTAGGCTCTGCTCAGAGGGTAGAAAAACCAAGGTGGGGTCAGCAGGGCCCAAGGCCCCCAAGTCAGCCTCTCCCCAGCCCCAAGGTCTTCCTCCGCAAGACCCGAGGCCAAGTCCTCCCCCTCCATGCACCGACCCCACTAGACAAGGCTGGTGCTGCCGTAGAAGCCGGACAGAAGGGGGTCTACTAGTCAGACAACGCCTGAGCAGCCTGTACCCGAAGATGATCATCCGCAGATTGGGTAAATTGAGTCACCAAGCAGCAAAAAGCAAGCAGCAGAACTCACAGGATTCAGGGTAGAAAGTGTCACCAACTCAACAGGCAGCGGTGACGGAGGCAAAAACCGTAAGGATCGCCCTGAGACAAGGGAACCGAACAACCCTCAAACTTGCATAAAGCAAGGGGGAACTCAGGGGTCGCATCCATCGGGCCCACGTGTCCCCTAGGAGATTCCCAGGGTCCTGAACGTTTACTATAAGAGGACTCGCGCTCAGGTAAACCCAGGCAGGGTACTGCTAACTGGCGCCCAAAACTACCAAACAAACTGTCCAAAGCTGAATCCCAGGGACGTGTACACTCACGGGGACCTAGCAGGGGGGCACCACCAAGTATCAGGATGAGGCCAAACACCAGTGCTAAGTCGGGCAGAACCCCCTACCAAGGCAAAAACAAAAAGAAAACAAAACCCTGCAAGAGGACAGTGTACCCCAAGGACCAGAGCCGGCCGCTGTGATTAGCCCTTCCACTGCTCAAGGGGCCTGAGGACATTTACACTCCTGTGCGCATGAAGAAAAAAAAAATCTAAAAAATTATTTCGTCTTCTTATTATGTTAATTTGTGTTCCCTGAGCACGGGAAAAAAAAATCGTAGGTGACATATTTTATGAGCAATTGACCGCGGAAGTCTGGCAAAAAGTGGGCGTTGACAGAGTGGTCGTCAGAGGCAGTCAGCGTCACCCGCGCTGACAGGTGGAAGTTGCCACAAAGATATTATCATTTAATTATTTCTATGTCTCTTATTGATTTTTTCTTAGTTTTTGTGCAGTATTATTATTCAATAGTGTGTTTTGTAGTATATTTATATAATAAAAGTGGTGAATAATCGCTATACTCAAAAGTATAGTGTGCATATTAGTGATTCAATTATTATGTTTATAAAACAATAAACAAATGGTTTTGCTGCTATTACACTATACACAGGTTATATATAAGTATTTGCATGTTTTGTTCACCATAACGAACCACTAAGTTGGTATTGAGAGTCGAAAAGCAACGAGGAGTTACCGCCACTCACCACCAGCCACTCATTGCCACTCCCTCAACAACGCCTCACTCTCCCACTTTTTCCTCCCATCATCCTGTTTTATATTTTATTCATAATATACAGACGTTATATATAAGAATCTACATGTTTTGTTCACCACAAGTGTACAACTAAGCTGATATAGTTAGTTCAGGCACTAAGAGTCGTCGCTATACACACAGTCAGCTGGCGGCTCCCTCACTCATTCGAGGTCACACTCACTAAACTTTCTCCCCCAACAGTACCGTTTGTGGTGTTATTGCACTATATACACACATTATATATAAGTATGTATATATTTTGTTCACCACAACTGTACAGTTAAGCTGATATAGCTAGTTCAGACACTAAGAGTCGTCGCTATACACACAGTCAGCTGGCAGCTCCCTCACTCATTCGAGGTCACACTCACTAAACTTTTTCCCCCAACAATACTGTTTGCAGTGTTATTACACTATATACACACATTATATATAAGTATCTACATGTTGTATGCACCGTAACTGTACACCTAAGCTTGTAGAGTGCCTAAAGAGCATAGTGGCCACCCTCTACACAGTCAGACAAATCATGCAGATGACGTTACCTCCGTCACCCAAATTGCTCCTCCCAGCATAATCCTTTTGCTGTTATTACACTAATGCACACATTATATATAAGTATCTACATTTGTGTTCACCATAGAGAACCACTGAGCTGGTACGGTGAATGTAGACAATAACAGGTGGCCACACAGTCAGTAAACGATGCTATCTCCCTTCGTCCCTCAGCATCACTCCTCCCACAGCGCTAATTATTACAACAATCCTGCTATTATCACAACCCTGGTTATTTATATCACAGTCAGGGGTCATCTGTAATATTGTCATCGCTAAATAATAGCAATTATATATTTATTTTGACATTTTTCGGCGATGCTGTGGTCACAAGCTGAACAGCAATGCTGTTCGCTCATGCTGCGTGCGCCAGCCTTGGTTGCTCCAACAGTACTGTGCCTCTCACACCTGAGAATATTGCCCACGATTTAAAAAAAAAAATGGCGTCTGTTTACAAAAGCCCTGAGGAAGCTAATGTGAACTCCGTGTAGCCACGGGCCATTTGAATCGTGCCTGGCACCCTATAGCATATATGTACGCCATGCGCACCGTGGGACATGTTACTCATGGTGTATATTTATGCCATGCGCAGTTTAAGGGTTATTGACAAGCTGCACAGCACCCTGCGCCCCTTACCAGTGCAAAATTGCCTCCTACACTAAGGTAAACTAGGGAGACAAAACACCCAAGTACCCAAAGGGCGGCCAAAAAACCTAGCAGTTAAACGGACCCACAGAGGCAGATCTTAAGGAACCTGTGGAAGGTAAACCCAAGCTCCAAGGGCAGTACTTGCAGGGCACGTAGGGAAGGGAACCCTAGGCGCATGTAGCCCGAGTACTGAAGAGTAACTCCTGGCTCTCGCACCCCTAGAGAACAGCCGCCACACACAAGGCACAGCGCCGTAAAAGTCTGGAGCCAGAGCACACAACCGCTGCCTTTAGCATCAGCCTCAAAAACTGAGGTGTGGATCACCGGCACAGTAGGTCTAGAGCTACCCCTACCCCCCTCCCGGGAAGGGGGAGATGCGCAGATGGCGGTGCGGCAACGGGTAACGTCATACTTCTTGAGGTTATCTTGAGGTTATCTTGAGATGATTTCGGGGCTTTTAGTGTCCCCGCGGCCCGGTCCTCGACCAGGCCTCCACCCCCAGGAAGCAGCCCGTGACAGCTGACTAGCACCCAGGTACCTATTTTACTGCTAGGTAACAGGGTCATAGGGTGAAAGAAACTCTGCCCATTGTTTCTTGCCGGCGCCTGGGATCAAACCCAGGACCACAGGATCACAAGTCCAGCGTGCTCTCCGCTCGGTCGACCGGCTCCCTATACTAGTTTGCTCTTTTTTTTTTTTATTTTTATCCCCTTGTTCGGCTTTGGGTAGCAATATTTTAACCAGAATAGGGGTTTGTATTGGGATGCTTACCCTTCTGGGTGCCTGACCCGGTCGATGGCAGACATATCATGCTTCCAACCACACCGGGGGCTTCTGTAGGCCATTACTCCCCTTGCCTCTCTGAGGGGGCCAGGTTCTGACCATGGTTCCCGGTAGGCCCAAAGAAATCTATACACATGACTGATGCCAAAGTCTGACATTAGCATATCAGCCTGGATAGCTCCGGGAAGCCGTAGGGGCTCCCCCAGAAAATGCACAAAACAAATGGGACTCCGAATCCACAGGATTCCAACATTGGCGGGCACTAAGCTTGAAGCTTTGGGGCTTGCCTGTGAGCAGGTGTGACTGGAAGTACTACAAGTTGGTGGGAACAGTAACATCAAGAGCTGAACTGACATGGGGGGGCTGGCTAGTGGTGGTACTATAATTGGTACTAACCAGTTTTGAGCAAGTTTGAGCAAATTTCTTGTTACGTGTGGCTCGTTTACGGTTGTTGTTTGGCAGGTTTTGAGGCAATATTTTCAGTAAACCCTTCAGTTATCTGTAAAGCTGCATTAACTTTCTGGATGTTTTTTGTGAGCAGGTGGTGATTTATCACCTGCTCTCTCTGCCTCTGTGAAAAGGCCAGATTCTGGCACTGGTCCTTGGTAGTCCAATCATAATTATCTGCAAACTGATGACCTTTTAGTGCAGCCATTCTCAATGCGGGTGATATAGCCTCTACCTGCTGACGATTTTGGGGATCAGTGTTCCTGTGGCTTGGTCTCTGACTAAGCCTCCTGGTTGCTGATTTGAACAACCTGGCTGTTCACAGCCTGGTTGATCAGGTATCCTTTGAAGGTGCTTGTCGAGTTCTCTTTTGAACACTGCAAGAGGTTGGCCAGTTATACCAAGAATGTGTTAGAAAAGTGTGTTGAAAAGTCTTGGGCCTTTGATATTGATTGCGTTCTCTGTGTGCAATTGTACATCTGCTTTTCAGTGGGGCAATTTTGCACATTCTGCCTTGCCTTCTGGTCTCATGGTGTAATTTCTGTGTGCAGATTTGGAACCAGTCCTCCTAATATTTTCTAAGTTTAAATTATTATATATCTCTCCCGCGTGAGCTCAAGGGAATACCAGATTTAACCTTTTTAGGAAGTCCTAATAATTTAAATGTTTTATTGAATAGATTCTAGAGGTAAAAGATCTTTGCATGCTCTCCAGATCAGCAATTTCTTCACCTTTGATGAGGCTGTTAGTGTGCAACAATATTCCACTCTAGAGAGCACTTGTGTCTTATACAATAACAAAAACGGGAAAAATTTCACATGCTGGAAAATATATATCGAGATTAGACGTTTTAGAAGATGGTTATGTACATAACTATAAGGTAACAAAATGAGATAATTCTCAAACTTGTATGGGATATCCAAGGTAAATAAGAACTTACTCTTCCAAGAAGCAAGGCAGAGTCAGACAGCTTAGGGTGGATTCCTTCAATGGTGCCATTATTTGTGAAGCCAATAGCACGTTTGGCCCTCTTGGTGCCCTCCTCCAAGATGAGTCCCAAGTGGCTAGCAGGGTTCTTCAGAGCCTGCTGCAACTCACGCAGGTGTCCACCAGCATACTGAAGACCTGATTCACATATCAAATATGGTGATATATTACAAGAATTCCTTATTTTAAGCATAAGTTTTAAGTCTTTTTTTTTTTCCTTAGAGGCTAAGGAAATATTTTACAGAATAATTCATAAACTACATTTGTCCTATTTTAACCCTTATCCCTTCAACTACTCACCACAACTAGGGTTGTTTCGTTGATTGTGTGCACCAAAACCAGGGTTGCTTTTTGGTGTACCACTAGATTTAAAACCTGTGAAGTAAATGGGACACCCATATGGTGCCTCAGGCCTCCAGTAAACAGCCACCATCTTGAAAAAAATTGCTGGCTCCAGGATGTTTGTGGGTATGCCTCAGTTTGTGGGTATGCCTCAGTTTGTGGGTATGCCTCATACCTGCTTGATACCTGCTTGATGGGGTTCTGGGAGTTCTTCTACTCCCCAAGCCCGGCCTGAGGCCAGGCTCGACTTGTGAGAGTTTGGTCCACCAGGCTGTTGCTTGGAGCGGCCCACAGGCCCACATACCCACCACAGCCTGGTTGGTCCGGCACTCCTTGGAGGAAACTATCTAGTTTAACTATCTGATTGTGCCTATGGCCCCTCTGCTCTTCACTGGTTCAATGTTGCATTTTCTTCCATATCGTTCACTCCAGTATGTTATTATTTTACTGTGTAGATTTGGTACTTGGCCCTCCAGTATCTTCCAGGTGTATATTATTTGATATCTCTCTCGTCTTCTTTCTAGTGAGTACATTTGGAGGGCTTTGAGACGATCCCAATAATTTAGGTGCTTTATCACGTCTATGCGTGCTGTATATGTTCTCTGTATTCCCTCTATTTCAGCAAGCAGGAGGCAAGCACCGCCTGCCGACACGCGAGCCGGGAAGCATAGAACAGGGAAACCGTATCCTGCAGGATCGGCGCAAATAGTTTCAGCAAGGCAGCCGACGAGCGGGCCGCAGAGCCCAAGGCACCGGACCCAGGGATGGCCCCGACCGCCCCTACATCCTCCTCAAGCTAGTCCGAAGACAGCTCCAGGAGGGAAAAGAAATGCAAGGCCAAAGCCAAAAGGCCACGGGCGCGCATGTCCACAGCAACCTGCGCAATCGAGAGGGAGAGAACCTACACATGGAGCTGCACCATGCCCACATCCCAGGAAAGGGCAGGGGCAAACAAGCACTCATTAAGGTGCACCAGGTCGCCCCCCAGGAAAACCTGAACCACCGACGCAGCCTCGCGTCACTCAAGCGTGCAGGTACGGCAGAAAGAATGCCAGGCCTCCAAAGCAAAGACAGGACAATCTGCCAGCCAGACTGTCCCAGACAAAGACAGTCTCCAGAACCTCGTAACAGACCCGAGTATAACGTGTATGTATCGAGTAACTGGCAACCGGTGGCATCCTGCCCCCGACCTGGGACAAACAACGGTCCCCAAGGGGACCATATTTCTCCACAAGGCGATAAGTACCCCACATAAACTTGAAAAAATAAACATAGGTAATATTATAAATATACTGTATACATATTATATATACATACATATAATATTATAAATATATTCATATAATATTATAACACCACAAACCCAACATGGAGGCATGTGGAGGCTGCTTTAAGCCACTTTGGAAGAGTGTTGTAGGGATTGTATGTAACATTTGTAACATAAGCTTTCACCTGAGTTGTACAGGATTACCTACACAATATGTAAACCGGGAAGGTAACTACTGGATCTGTCAAAGAGACAGACAGATGTGGGAAAACATTACCAAACTAATGAATAACATTCCTGAAGTACGCAGGCTACAATTCACACATAAACTACCAGAAATATATGCAGAGTATATAAAAACAACAACGAACTCTGAACAGAACTGAGGGGCAAGAGCTACGAAGAGAGGTTAGAGGCATTAAATATGCCAAAACTGGAAGACAGAAGAAAAAGAGGCGATATGATCACTACATACAAAATAGTAACAGGAATTGATAAAATCGATAGGGAAGATTTCCTGAGACCTGGCACTTTAAGAACAAGAGGTCATAGATATAAACAAGCTAAACACAGATGCCGAAGAAATATAAGAAAATTCACTTTCGCAAACAGAGTGGTAGAGGGTTGGAACAAGTTAGGTGAGGTGGTGGTGGAGGCCAAGACCGTCAGTAGTTTCAAAGCGTTATATGACAAGGAGTGCTGGGAAGATGGGACACCACGAGTGTAGCTCTCATCCTGTAACTACATTTAAGTAATTACACTTAGGTAATTACAACCCAGGGACTGAGAATTTAGAGACCCACAGTAGCAATGTAGAAGGACATGGTGTCGAGATACACAAAAATGAAGGCAATATTGTAGAGCAAACTGGTGATATGAATAAGGAGAGAAAAATAAGACGGATGAGAACACAAATGAGAAAGACAAAAGCAACAAGGAGAAAGATAAGGGCAATAACGAGAATGAATACGGAAACGAGAATGAATGCGGAAACGAGAAAGTTGGAACAAAAAACCATCGTTGAATGTAATGAAACGCCATTTTCTGGGTGAGACCAGGAGGCTTCCCGGAGCTTTACCAGGCTGATATGCTAATGTCAGACTTTGGCATCAGTCATGTGTATGGAGTTCTAGGGCCTACCGGGGACCACGGCCAGAACCTGGCCCCCTCAGAGAGGCAAGGGGAGCAATGGCCTATTGAAACCCCCGTGTGGTTGGAAGCCTTCTATGTCTGCCATCGACCGGGTCAAGCATCCAGAAAGGTAAGCATTCCAAAACAAACCCCTATTCTGGTTAAAATTGCTACCAAAAGCCGAACTAGTTGATAGAACTCCCCAACAGAAAACAAGCAAACTAGTATGACATCACACATCACCGCGCCGCTGTCTGTACAGCTTCCCCCTCCCCGGGAGGGGGAAGAGGGAGCCCCAGATCCTCCCACGCCAGCTATTCACCCATCAGTTCTGAGGCTGGATGTCAAAATACGCGAAAAACCGCCGACCGGAGGGAGGGAGGGTTGCCGGGGAGCCTCCGGGTCTCACCCAGAAAATAGTGTTTCATTACATTCAACGCTGGTTTTCTGGGGGGAGCCCCGTTGGCTCCCCGGAGCTAACTACCCACAGAGGAAGGTCAAAGGGATGGAACCGGGAGGCGAACACCACGCACCCCCAAGGAAGCGAGACAACCGGCAGCAAACGCCAACCCAAGGCATCACAGCCCGAAAGGGCCCGGGAACGTCACAAGACAACGAGCAGCAAGGCCCCAGTACGAACACCAAAGAACCGTGCCCAAATGACATCAAGGGCATGCTGCCCAGATGGCAGCAAGAGCAGCGAAGCCATGAATGCCACGGGCATGGGGGAAGAACCCAGGCAGGTAAGCCGCAAGAACACGTATGACAACCCGGGACACCGTCACCCGCGAACAGGAAAGAACGGAACCGGATCAACTCAAAACGCGCCCTGGACACAGATGCCGTGGCACGCAAATAACAGTGGAGGGCCGCCACTGAACACAAAACACGACACCCCCCCAGTCCAACCAACCAAGGACCCCTCCGAAATGCAGCAGCCCCATCCCGTGACAGAAAAGATGGGGACTGCTGCCACCGAAGAACCAAAACGCTAAAACTGAAGGAGCAGAAAAACCCCGTGGAGGAGCAAGAAGCCCAGCGACCCGATCCTCAGAGGCAAAAGCCAACAGGAAAAAAAGAGCCGACGAGAAAACAAACCGGAACCGAAGGGGCACCACCAACTGAGGAGAAGACAGAGCACGCTGACCAGAGACCAGGACAGTGCAAGCGGCGCACGAACAGGCCGGAGGTGAAACAACACACGAGACAGCTTACTAACGGCGCAGAAGCAACACGAAGACCAAAAGCAAGCCGAAGCGACTCCACCAGCACCGCACGAAAAGAGGCGACAGTATGTGGCAAGACGACGGCCCCCAACCCCCAACAGAAAAACCAAGCCGACGCTAACAACTGCAGCCACCTAAGAAGGGACAGGAGGAAAAGAAAGGACCGCCAAATTACCCCATACTGCCGCCAAGAAGTATGCAGGTGGGACACCTACCACGAAGCCACCTGACCACCAACAGGAGGTGAGACCGCGAGGCAGAACGGAAGCAGCCCTGACAAGGCCTCTCCGAGCCCAGGAAAAGGCCGAGCCGCGGGAAGATCTCGGGCGCGACCACCGAAACTCAGGCGGCCCAAGGAGATGAAACGTCGGCCGAACAGAAAGCTCCCAATGCAAGCAAGCCCGCCAAGGGATCAGAAACGACGGGTCCGACGCAAGACATCGCAAGACCCCGAAAAACCAACCGGCAAGGCAAGCCAGGAAAACCAAAGAAGGCGTAACGAACCAAGGGGTACGAGCAACTGAAAGAGACCAAGACAAATAAGCGCGCCATAGGACACAGGCTGAAAGAACGCCTAAGAAGCCAAGGAACGCACGCAAAACACCCCTGCAGCAGAGGAGGAAACAAAGGGAACGCACAAGGAAGGGAAGCGGTAGAAACCGACCCCCCCCCCCAATACAGCAGCAAGTGCAGGCAAAACCGACCAAAGGAGATGCCAGGAAAGAGACTGGGGAGAGGCAGGACGAAAAAGCTGAAGCACAAACCCCAGGAAACAACTAGGGGTGGACAAGCATGGGGGGCCAAGCCAGGGACCCGAAGACCACGAAAAATAAGCAAACCCCCATACGCAAACCCTAGGTACAAAACAGCAGCAAAATGCCACACCATAACCGGACACCAGAACAAGGACACGGCACCGTGAAACACGTTACCAATGCACACGTGCAGCAGCAACAGGCACCACCGCACAATGTAACATGTAAATAACAACTCGCTTCTGCAAAGACAGACTGGTGCAGGCAGACCCCAGACAGGGCCAACGGAGACACAACAGAATGCAGCAGGCCCAGGAACCTGCACACCAGGCGACTGACGGCGGAGAAACCTGCACGATACCTGTTGGATGGGGTTCCGGGAGTTCAATTTACACCCCAAGCCCGGCCCAAGGCTAG